GCTGGAGATGGGGCAGGCTTGCGGGGAAAGCGCCAAAGTTTGGTTTCAGGCACCTTACATTTAAGATGCTTATTAAACACCCAAAAGTCTATCAGATTGTCAGTCGGATATCTCACTCAAGAGGAAATACCTGACCTGAAGACGACAGTCTGGAGGAACTTTTCTTTTTCGGGACTAGGGAGTGAACCCAGGGCCTCACACATACTAGGGAAGCACTCTACTGCTGAGATACACCTCCAGCCTTTGGAATTTTTAAATTTATTGTCCAACAGCAAAATTGCATCCCTGTTATACAGTTTCCTGAGCTTTGAAAAAGGCACCGTGTCACTTGGTCACAACCACAATCAAGGCTCAGACTTGTTCCATTCTTTGAAATTCCTATATGAGAAACCTAATATATAAATAAAGTGCAAAATAAAAGACAGATAACAGAAAGTAGAGAGATAGATCTTTCTCAAATGGGAGGGCACTGTCTTAGCTACTTTTCTTTCATTGCTGAGACAAAATACTTGACGTGCAAAATTAAGGAAGGAAAGGTTTATTTAGCTCACAGTGTGTAGAGGTTTCAGTCTGTAATCAGCTGGCTCCAAGGCAGGGTGGCGTGGTGAGGGGTAGCACTTCAAGGTGGCAGAAGACAGCAAAAGCAGCAAGAGCAAAAGGGGGAAGGAAGCCTCTTTTCCTCCCTTATATTGTACACAGGCTACACCCCCCAGGGCAGGTGTAGCGCTCACACCATCCTTATGACCTCCTCTTGCACAGAATGAGGATGTTTAGGAAGTGAGGACCCTGGCCCCCTGCTGAGTCACTTAGTCAAACTTCTAAACTTCTCAAGCAGAGGCAATGTATCAACCATAACAGGGATCAAGAGATGAAGGGAGGGCAGGGCAGGGAATGTAAAAACGATTAAGATGTGTTATGTATGTGTATCAATCCCCACGAGGAACGTAATCGTCATGTACTGCAAACACATACTAATAAAAAACAAAACTGAAAAAAATATTCAAGGCTGGTACATACTAAAATAACATATAATTAAGAGGGAAAAAAAAGGAATTCCCTCCTGCTGCCCCTTTGTAATCAAATCTCATGCCCCAGCCCTTGGCAACCACTAATCTGTTCTCTGTCCTCACAGTTTTCCATTTTTCCAAAATGTTATATAAATAAAATCAAACAGTATGTAGCGTTTTGAATCTGACTTCTTTTACTCAGCGCAATGCATTTGAGATTCAATTATGTTGTTGTGTTCGACTTTTCATTACTTTTTTTGGCTCAGTAATATTCTATGTGGAGGTTCCAGATTCTGTTTACCCATTCACACAGTGAAGGGTATCTGGATGGTCTCCACTTACTAGCAATTATAATAAAGCTGACATAAATATTCATGGGCAAGTTTATGTGTGAACAAAAGTTTTCAATTTTCTTGAGTATGTAACTAGGAGGAGGATTGCTGGGTCATATGCTAAGTGTACGTTTAACTTTATAGGATACTGTCAAGCTGTTTTCCAAAGTAGCTGCACTATTTTACATTTCCAATAGCAATATCAGATGTATTTATTGATTTATTTACCATTCTAATAGGTGTGTAGGAGTATCTCACTGTGATTTTCATTTGTCTTTCGTTAGTGATCTTGAATGTCTGTTTATGTCCTTAATTTCCATCCAAATATCTTCTTTGCTGAGGTAGCATTCAAGTCTTTGCCCATTTTAACTGGGTTATTTGCTTTTATATGGTTGAGGATGGAAAATTCTTTAGAGAGTCTGTTTAAAAGTCCTTTGTCAGATATGTGATTTGTAAATATATTCTGCAAGCATGTAGCTTGTCTTTTTATTCTTTTAAAAGTGTTTTTGGCAGAGCAAAAGTTTTAAATTTTGATGAAGCCCAGTTTATCTTTTTTTTTTTCTTTTCTGTTATAGATTATGCTTTTGGTGTTGTAGCCAAAAACTCATTGCCTAATTCAAGGTCACAAAGATCTTTATTTTCTTTTGAAAGTCTTATAGATTTCAGTTTTACATTTAAGCCTATGAACTTTTTGTGTTAATTTTTGCATAAAATAAAGTATAGTCAAGGGACATTTTTGGCTTACAGGCATGGACTTCATCCATTCAAGTAACTGTTAACAAAATATCATAAACTCAATGGTTTATAAGCAACAGAAATGTATTTCTCACTGCTGCGGAGGCTGGGAAGTCCAAGATGACGGCACCAGTACATTCAAAGTCTGGGTGAGGTCGTGTTTTTCATAGGCAGCACCTTGCTGTGTTCTCACATGATAGAAGGGGCAAGGTCACTCTCCTGAGGCCTCTATTATAAGGGCATTAATCCCATTCCAGAAAGTTCCTCATGAACTAATCATCTCCCCAAAGCCTCAGCCTTCAAGTACTGTCACCTTGGAGGTTGGGTCCCAACACACGAATTGGGGGGGGGAGGGAGACACAAATATTCAGACCATAAGAGGCATTCAACTATTCAAGCACCATTTTTAAAGCCCTGTTCTTTTATCTCTGCCTTCTTCCTTTAAAACAAAAATCTCTTATCTTGGTTCTTTAGATTGATTAATTTCTATTGATCCTATATTCAGTTTTGTTCATTTTTGAGATACTGCATCTTTCAGTCCTAAAATTTCCATTTGGATTTTTTTTTTTTTTTTTTTTTTTTTTTTTGGTCTTTTTGAGACAGGGTCTCATTATACAGTTCAGGCTGGTCTTGAACTCACTTGTAGCCCAGGCTGGCATCCAACTCACAACAATCCTCCTGCCTCAGCCTCCTGAGTGCTGAGATTACAGGCACGTGCCACCACACCCAGCCTCCATTTGTATCTTTAATAAAAATATTTTCTCTCTTTTGAGAGCATCTATCTTTTCATTCATTTCATGTCTGTTCACCCTTACTTCATGGAGCTAGTCAGCCATGGATTGAACCTTCTGAAACCGTGAACCAAAATAAACCCCTCTTCCTTTAAATTGTGTCAGGTAATTGCTCCCAGCAGCAGGAAAGCTGGCCAGTATAGAATATCAGAGGGTTTCTTTATGGCCAACTCTTAAACAGAAAGGCAGGGGAAAGTTGGGGTAATATTTTGAAGTTGTATGGCTGGCTTTGGGGCAAAGGGGTTCTAGTTTCTATGACCCACTTTGAGAAAGAAGAATTCTAGTTTCTGTGGCTTGCCTCAGGGAAGAAAGCAGGGCAGGAGGCAGGCAGGAGGCCAAGAGAAAGACAGAGAAACTTTGCTTCTGAGGCTGCTTCTGAGGTCTTTCCTTTCAGGTATCATTTTCTGAGCCCCATCAGGGTTGTGCCGTCCTGACCCTTTGGGTTCTCAGTTGCACTGAGCATGGAACGGGTTCTACGTGCATCTGAGTGGCATCAGAAGTATCTTCTAACCCGCAGTAGGAATTATGAGCTATCACAAACACACAGCTGTGGTGTCTGACTTGCGGGTAACAAGTCATTGGGACTGCTTAGCTGATCTGGGCTGTTTCACTGAGAATGTCACAAACAGAAGTTCTTCCTTTCTAGGGACACCCCTCCCATCCAAGGAAAGCTTGGCTCTCATTTGGATGGTGACGATTACAAACTGTGGCAGCACAGGTCTATAATGCCAGCACGGAAGGAGGCTGAGGCAGGAGGAGTGGAAGTTCAAATCCAGCCTGGGCAATTTAGTGACACCTCATCTCAAAATAAAAAAATAAAAAGGGCTGGGGATGTAGCTCAGTGGTAGAGCACCTTTGGGTTTGATCCCTAGTACCACAAAAAAGAGACAGAGGAGAGAGAAACAGAATGGAAGGTGTAAAGTCGGTGGAGAAATAGAAACATGACAAACATCAACGATACTAAAGCGAGCAGGTTTGGAAGGAGTGCCAAAATGTGGTGGCTGAGGCATTAGGAGGTAGGGCAAGGAGCACTAGTTAGACAATCAGAGGAACTGATTCTAGACTCATTTTTGTCCCCTCAGCACTCAGCCAGTACTATGGTTTGGATACGGCTTAACTGTGCCTCACAAAAGTTTCGTCTACCGGGCATGGTGGTGCACACCTGTAATCCCAGCACTCGGGAGGCTGAGGCAGGAGGATCACAAGTAGTCAGTGTCAGGTACTTCACTGTAGTTATAAAAAGCTGAACGATACAGGTGATTTTGACTGAGTTGAAAAACTCCCACCCCCTACCACTACCTCACACATATCTTGGTCTCTTCTCAGAAATAAGGAAACAGGGGCTGGGGATTTAGCTCAGCGGCACAGCACCTGCCTGGCAAGCACCAGGTCGTGAGTTCAATTCCCAGTACCAGAAAAAAAAAAAAAAACAAATAAGGAAACAGGGGCACGAGGCCAGTGACCTCTGAGGTCCCTTTCTACTCATGAACCTACTTATTCAGCACACATTTATCAAGGTCTCCATGTGCATGGTACTGGAAAAGATGCTAAGAATACAGAAGAAAACTATGGCGGTCAGTGGTCACTGCTCTGAGGAGAGCCCATGAACATATTCAGTTCCACATACTGTATCTTTCCAATTAATACACGGAAATCCCACTCTCTCAGGGTCGTTTCCTGTTTCAAGCATTGCTCCTATGCAGCCAACTTCCCACGTGACCTAATGCAAAAACAGCAATGATTTAAAGGAACAGGCTCCTTTTTTCTTTAACCTGTCCTCCCTCTCACTCAGAGATAAGCACACTCCACATGGAATTGTCCTCAAAAGACTCCAGGCCTGTGTGTCTCAGTGTCACACGTGGGTGATTCGCGAGCTTCCTTATGTCCTGATCCCATTTTCTGATATGCACAGTTGCTCTGATAAAAGGAAATTCCTTCGGGGAGACATTGGCCTTTTCTGAGGGAAAAATTAAATTATGGTAAATCAATTTTATGCTTTGTTTCTGGTCTACATCAGCCTCACCTCTGGATTGGACCAAGCTTGGGTACACTGAGCCATTACTGTGATTTATCACGAGCTGACTCCCCAGCCCATTGTTCCCTCACTGAAATCAAGTGAGAAAAATCAAACTAACCTTCCGTTCAAAGGACGGTATTCCAAATGGCAGTTCCCTGCAGACTCACAGAGTCTGAGGCAGCCCAGACGATCACCGTGCGATGCGACGCCCAGAGCTGCCTATCTGTCACGGCGCTGTTCTCCAAAGGCGCTTCCGCCTCCAATCCGTTATCGCTTGTCTTCAGCCGCGTGGATGTGCAGGCAGGTGGTGAGGTGTTTGGGAGCCCAGGGCCGCGGCCATAAATCAGAAGTCCTGACGCCAGATTGCACGCTCATCCTTCTGCATTCCTTTATTGCGCGGTTTGATTATTAGCGTTCACACAAGGAGAGGCTACATTTATTTTTCCTGGGTGAAGAAAGGCAACATTGGACGTTTAAGTTTCCCAAACAAAGGTCCTAAGGACAATGGAGGCCACACTGGTAGGCATGGGGGTGGGAGGCCATAAAGTGAGCAGCTCCCGGGCTGTGACTTGCCTACAAACGGCGCCATCTGTAAGAACACAGCGTGGTCCTCAGACTACGGCCTCCCCTCTCTGCAATCAGAAGGCCATTATAAACTCTAAGGCTTGGACTTTGGTTCTGAGTTTAAAAGTGGCTACATTTCTAAGCGGAAATGTGTAGGGCATCAGGTTTGTCTTTGGTCTCAAGCTGCCCCCTGGAGTTAGTAAGCTCCCTCAAGCCCCTCTCAGCAACCTCGGATGCCCCTTTGAGGGGGTGAAAAACCCTTCTGATACCTATATTGTTTTGTCTAATCCCTGTTTTCCCTAAGGCTCCCCAGATTCAACATGTTACACGAGGAATTAGAAAGATTCTGAGGCTTTCTAACATTTCTAACGGGGGAATTTTTTGGATATGCTGACAGTGGCTGACCACCCTTTCTTCTCATTAGTGCATTATCTCAGCTGGGAACTGGAGTTTTTTTCCCCACGGCCTCCCACATGCCTCTCAAGCACTCTAGTGCAGAGGTACATCTCCAGCCCTTTAGGAACTTTTGTTTTGAGAGAGGGTTTTGCTAAATTTTCTAGGCAGGACTTGAACTTGTGATCCTCCTGCCTCAGCCTCCCAACTAGCCGGGATTACAAGCATGAGCCACTGTACCTGGCTTAAATGTGGACTTTCTAAGAGGGAAGAAGAGCCGTGTGGCACATACTCATTTAGGTTGGCTTAAAATCAGCTCATCTTAATCGGCTATCTATCTACTCATCTATCTCAAAACTACTCCGGGTAGAGCATCATAGAACAAAGAAAAAAGTGGCTGGGCTTATTAATTAGAAATTAATATGTCTCTTTGGGGACCAGTTTAGTGAGAAGTTGTATCATTTGTAGAACTGGCTGGGGGGTCTGTATGCCACAGCTATTCATTTTCTCAGGTGCTGTGCAGCCCCCATGAGAAAGTCTTCATCTCCCATTACCCTCATCCCTAATGGCCTGTATTAATTTATAACTGAGGGGAATTGCAAAAATGCACTATGTTTCACAGAATCGAGGCAAGCTGCAGCAACCCTTTTAAAGTCATAATAAATTAAGCTGCAAAGAATGCCTGTATTTATCTTGCATCATTTTTATAGTTATTGCTGCTATTTTTCTTATGCTGGCTTAATTAAGAGATGTCTTTGGGGAATTAACTTTCTGTTGAAAAAGAGAATTTTTTAAATGGCTCTGTTTTATTTCTGTGAATAAAAAGTAGGTGCTGTGGTTTGATGAGATGGTAGAGAACTGGCTTGGGAGTTTCATCTGGGTCCCACCACATACTAGCCAGGTGACCTGTGCGTCACGTTTCCTGTCAGGACCTCCCATCCGGAGGAAGAAGTTAGATGAGCTAACCTCTGAGACCCTTTCCCTGCTTCTCTGACCACTCTTAGTTTGCTAAGCCAGGCCCTCCACTGCCAGATTCGTTCACGTTAATCGTGAAATTCACAGAAATCCCTAAAACCTTTGTTTGTTTTAACGACTGACCTGAGTAGGCCTCTCTGTGTCCAGATTAATCATTCCACAGCTGGTTGTTATGACAACTCGGAACACTGCTGCAAAAGCCAACGTCTCGGTGGAGAGAAATGGACACAACCAGAGGCCCTTTTGCCATGGGAGCTTTAAAGGGAGTCAACTGACCCTGTGGATTTGTTCTCTCCAGCCCATGCCTGACACTGGCCCCATTAGTCTTTCTATCTGACACAAGATTTTGTGCTTACTCATTTTATGACAGCTTTGTATTTAATCTACAAAGCAACCCTGGTTGACTTGAAAAGTCCCTTGGTGTAGCCAACCATAGCCTGTTCAAGCTGAACTAATTATTTTGTTTATGAAAAATATCCATAGGCCTAGTAAATTCTTGTACATGTACATCTTTATTTTTGTATTACTTTTATATGACATCGCTCAAGCAATAACTCAATCTGGCTGGCTAGGAAGGGCATACAAAGCCCTTTTAAGGTTTTGTGATCACAAAAGGTTTTCTCTCTTTAGTTCCTCTTGAAAAGACTTACTTTTATCCCGGTCAAAGATAAATAATACAGCAGTCATCCGGCAAGGCTTTCCCTCAACAGGCCACGTTCCACCCAGCAGAGCACTGGCGGCCGCCACCTACAGCAAATCACTAGACGATGGAGCCATCTTTGCCAGTCAGAAATAGTTCCCCTCCGCCCTAGCGCTGTGTGATTGTAGTTCCTGGCACAGGGAGAGCCTTTTCCTCCTCTGCCAGGTTTCTTTCAGACTTGCCACAGCCTCGTTTCAACTTTGGCTGAGAAACCAACCCACGAAACTACCTTTCCAAATGCTCCCTTTGGCCTAGAGAATGTCATCCAGTTTCCTGCGAAGGTCTCAAAGGCCTTGTTGTTCCTTGCACTGGGGCCCCAGTGGGGATAGGCCGTTGCCAACCACATCTCCCTCACCCAGCCCAGCCCTGGGGACTGCCGGAGGACAATTCCCATAGAGCCACAGGGAGGCCCCGAGTCTGGGGTGCCACTGGCCAAGGTTGCAAGATATAATTACAGGTTTGAAACAACAACAAAGATGGTGGTGAAGCAACAGCAAATAATATGGAGTAGGTCTCAGACTAACACAGATTATTTTAGGATTTCATGCCACTTAGCAGGAGACCTCCCTCCATCGTCCCAAAATCTATCCCTCCCTCTGTCCATAAACACAACAGTCCCTTCCTCAGGAAATCATTTCTGTTAAAGAAAATTTCTATTGTCCACTTTATGGAGATTTCACTCAGATTTAAAATACCTCTTAAACTACACACATATAAACCATAGGATCTCGATTTCTCAAGAGGGAGCACCTACTCAAGAAAGGGTATTTATTCAAAAGAGGACACTGGGTTTGGCCACTGCTCCGGTTTCTTTAGAGGAAAACTTTGACCCTGGAACTGAAAGAGGGACAATGCCATGTGGTCAGCAATGGAAGAACCTCCTGTGAACAAAGTCACATCTGTGCTGGGTGTGGTGAGAGGCTGAGGCAGGAGGATCACTGTGAGTTCGAGACCAGCCCGGGCTACAACGTGAGCTCAAGGCCAGCTTGAACTGCGTAGGGAGACCCTGTCTCAAAAAGACAAAAAAAAAAAAAAAAAGTCACCTCCGCATATAAGATCTTCCTAACTGTAGTGGCCAACTGAAGGGTACCTCAGTAACTAGAGAAGGCAGCAAGTGAGGTCTGGAGGGAAAGGAAACCAGTATAGGGTGAGTGAAAGAGACAGTTACTGCTGTGGGTGGCTGGGGCTCAGTCTCACCGGAAGTCTTTCAAGACTGCATAGAGCGTATCTCAGAGTCGTCCTACCCAAAAGAGTGAGGAAGTGGGATTTTCCACCAGTTTCTGTTAGTCCCCGGTTGAGGACTACCTCTTGACCCATTAACCGCCCATCATTTACACGGTGCCCTGTTTACAGGTTTAGCTCACCCCAGTGGCCAGGGAAAGCCCTTGGGTAGAGTTCCAGACACTAGACACAGGAAGCCATCTGGCAGGGAGGGTACGTAGCAGCGGTGAGAGCTAAGGGCTCTGCGATGGGTGCCCAACAGTATCTGCTCCATTAGGCTAACCCACCCTCTCCAAGAGAGCTCTTCCTCCTACCTGCTCTCCCGCACACAGGGGCCTACGCCTACCTTCTCCCACTCTGGCTCTCTGGACGAGGCTAAACTGATTCCTTGGGTAGCCTTGGCTCAACAGAAGTCTGTGTGACCACAAGAAGTTAAGGAGCCTGGGGCACAGGCAATCAGTAAAATCAGCAGGCCCAAGAGGGTCGTTAGTACTCAGGGAAGATGCTGTCGAGCGGGCGTCGGCTTGGGGCACTCGCAAAGCAGCTGAGATGTCTGTGGGCACAGTCTCTGGAGATCACCAATTTGGGCAAAATTTGAGCCTTTTTGCTTTCTTTAGCCCAGTGGCAGTCACTTGCCCTGTAGAGATTTTGAAATGTAACAGAATATAGGGGAAAATGCTGGAATTAGAACATCCTGTTGTCCAGTCCCTAGATGTCTTTAAAAGCTCCTGGAGCTGGGCACACTGGTGCACATTTATAATCCCAGCTACTCAGGAAGCTGAGGCAGGAGAATACCAAGCTCAAGGCCAGCCTGGGCAACTCAGCATCACCCTGTCTCAAAAACACAGAAAGGGCTGGGAATGTAGTTAATGGTAGAACATTCCTGGTCTCAGTCCCCAGTACAAAAAAGCAAAAACTCCTCCTGGAGGTGGTCACTAAGACTGTACCCTGGTACTCAGGGAAAGTGCCATGTATCCGGTGAAAGTATTCTCCCCCTCACTTTTCACACAGACTTCTTGCTCTTCACTGTTGAGGTGATGAGGGTGTAGGTTTATGATTTTGCTCAAAGTGACAGAGCAGCAAATGTGAATGACATTGCTTGTATGGGTGGGCAAAAGGCATGAGAAAAATAACCAAAAATTCCCATTTAATATTACATGGTAACTCAACATTCACTATAAATAAAGAATAACTCCCCCCCAAAATAGAAATTATTTTCTAAAGAATTTCTGATCAGCTGGGTGTAGTAGCACATGCCTGTAATCCCACCACTTGGGAGGCTGAGGCAGGAGGATTGTTGTGAGTTTGAGACCACAACCTGGGCCACACAGTGAGACCCTGTCTCAAAAAAAAAGACAAAAAAAAGAGAAGAATTTCTGATCAAAGGTCTTATGCTCACAAATGTTAGTGAGTAGTTGGTTCATATCATTTTTTTAAAAATTACCTTATCCTTTCTAATCAGGGTTGAAGTGATATATAAACAGATTTTGCAAGGCATAAGAAAACATAATTTACTTGACATGATTTGGGGAAAGAAAACTGAAATATATTAAACAACTCTCAACCGCACTATTTAGAAAGAAGAAAATCAAAGACACTAATTGCCCATGATGGCTATTTATACAGTGCAGAGTGGAGGGATGCTGGCTGCTCTGGAAATAGTTTAAATTCGATCCAGAAGGCAGCCAGTGGAGCCAGTAAAGACACGTAACCTGGGAGGTGACATATTTTCTTGGGTAAAGTTTAGCTATTGAGAGCATAAAGCAACAACAGGAACAGGCCCTTAGTTTAGGAACCTCAGTGAGACTACAGCATGGGAAAAGTTCATGCTCTTTCCCAGCTCATTCCCCTGCTTCAGGTCATTCCTCTGGATGCCCACCACACTACGTTTGATCCGTCAGTGTCCCAAACTCAGCGGGGCGAAGGCTTCTTTCTTTCCTCCATGTCACCCAAAACATACCGGTTCTCTGTGAGTCATCACAAGTTCGCTGCGTGATTAATGGGCACTGACGATGGCACGGATGGACTAACAGCGGCACAAGGAGACTCGATTCCCATCGCGATCTGGGTGTCACGTAGGAAGCTGTGATCGGGGAGCGTATTTGGCTGCCAAAGCATTTGGTTTGTGGTGTTTCAATTCGAGGATTCATCTTAGATAAAGGGAAAAGATCCATAGTCATATTCCTCCATATACACGCAGGCTTGCTTGAATTTCTTAAGAATAAGAGGTGGAATTAAGCTCCAGTTTCTGTTTCTCAAATCATTCCTTTAGGCAATATATCTGAACAGGCTCAGTCTCTCTAGCCTTAAGACATCTTTGTCTGACTCCTCAAGCAATAAGAGTTATCACCAGAGGGCAAAATGGGCCAATGCGGCCATTCAAAAGATATTCCTGGCAGCCAGGTGTGGGGACAGCTGCATGTGATCATTCCAGCACTCAGAGGCTGAGGCAGGAGGATGGCAAGTTTGAGGCCATCTTTGAGCTGTATAGTGATATCAGGTTTAAGACCAACCTGGACTGCGTAGGAAGACTGTCTCAGAAAACAAAACAAAAGCAAACAAAAAGAAACCGTTTGTGTCAGTAGTATAGCAAGTTTACCTCAAGTTCTCCAAAAAGGTTTTCTGTCTGCTCCCAAGTGACTGCCACACCACAAACTCTACCCCTCTACTCCTAAAGACGTCACAGCTAAGGTCATCAAGCACAATTACTTTGGAGGAAGGGCGAAGGAAAGAATCGAAGCTAAACTATTGCACACTGGCAGTGTACCAGGCTGTGCCAGCCCCTTCCGTAGATCTTTATTTCCTTTCCTTATCCCCAGAGCTGCAGTGTGCTTATTACTATTTCCAGTCTCCATTTCCCCGAGAGAACACACCAACACAAAAAATTCGTTGCCAGCAAAAAGTGGTAGAACCAAACCTGGCTACTTGGACATGCAATTTCTGTAAAAATCAGTGACCCTTCAAGTGATTCTTAGAGCAGCAGCATGAGCGGCATCACTAGGAACGCACGTACTGGGGCTTGACTCCAGGCCAAATAAATAAAAAAAAAAAAAAAAAAAAAAAAAACTCCAACAATTTCATTTTATTTTATTTCACTTGGTGCCAGGAATCGAACTCAGGACCTCGCGCTTGCCAGGGGCGCACTGTGATACTGAGCTATATCCCCGACCCCTTCAGACAATTTTAAAAACGTGGAGAGTTTGATCAAGTCTGTCCAGGAATGCTGACGCTCCTTAAAGTTTGAGAACCTCTGTCCCGTGCCACGTTACCTCTCATGTCCACCACAACCACATCCAGGGGTGAGCTGGCCAGATGTGTGCCCCTCCCATGATCATTTAGTCCTTATGAGCCCAGGGACTGTGTAAGCACCCTGTTCCCAGATGAGCTTTTCCCCTCCAACAGCCACCCTCGTCTACAGAATCCTTTTGTTATCTGTCGCTGATGTCTTATGACAACTCTTCCACTGGGGCCTAAAACTCTTAGACCTTTGTAGTGATTTAACATTTGTCTCCCACTTAACAGTGCCTGACAACAGCGGTTTGTGGAAAGCAACAGGCTCCATAAATACTAGTTTTGAGTTCAGCTCACTGAGGAACAACATCCAAATAATCACAATTGTCTCTGTAGTAAACAGATCACCTCAAAACCTGTGTGCTGCCCTCCACTCCAATTTCCCCAGCTCTAAGGTGTTAATGCAGGTGGGGGATGTTCAACAGAGATACCAACAGAGGGATCCTGGGCGGACAAGTTGGATGACATGGTCCCAGGGCTAATGAATCATCAAAACTTAAGGTAGGACCCAGCATTGAGGGAGGCTGAGGCAGGAATCACAAGCTTGAGGACAGCCAGGGCACCTTTCTCAAAATGGAAACTAAAAAGGGATAGGGATGTAGTTCAGCGGTACAGTGTACCTGGGGGTTTGACCCCCAGTACCACAAAAGAATTTAAGTACTGAACTCTATGGTACAACACAATACAACACATTCAAGGCCCTGGGTTCTATTTCTACTACCAAAAAGAACTTTAGGGGCTGGGGATTTAGCTCAGCGGCAAAAGCGCCTGCCTGGCAAGCGCAAGGTCGTGAGTTCGGTTCCCGGTACCGGAGAAAAAAAAACAAAACAAAACAAAAAAAAAAACAAAAAGAACTTTAAAATCTTGATTTCTTGGCATAAATGTATACATATATTCTTCTATACTTTTATAAACCTCTTGCCTATATTCTCTGTTGCAAGTATGAGTCTCTATTTCATTATATGCAAAGAATTTACATTCTGCATTTTTTTATAATGGACACATGACTTTTATTAAAAAATTCTAAGCTGGGTGTGGTAGCACAAGTCTGTCATAGCAGGACTTGGGAGGCTGAGGCAAGACAATTGCTGTGCGTTCAAGGCCAGCCTGGGGTACAAAGTGAGCTCAAAGCCAGCCTGAACTATGTAGCAAGACTTTGTCTCAAAAACAAGCAAAAGACAAAACAAAAAATTCTATTGGCTGCTGTTTCTGATTTATTTATGATCTTAAATTTGTGATTTTCTTTAGTTTTTGATCTTTATCTAATTTTCTCTAAAATTTATACTCTTCCTTATAAATCTAAAACTATCACTTTATCTCTAAATACTTTATTCATATTCCATAAATTGTATACTTTATTGAAATATAAATAATACACAATAAATGTAACAAATTTACTCCCAGTATAGATGAGTCTGCATTCTTTAAAATATATATGCTTTTATTTCTGGATTTCTTTTTACACATTTATCTTCAGATTCACCTATGTTGATACATGGGTCAATAATGCATTCTTTTGGGTTGTACTATATTCATTTGGCTGCAGATGGAAAGTTGGGTTGTTTCTAGTCTTTAGCTATTATAAACAGTTACTATGACATCTGTATGCAAGCCTTTATATGGAAGTGTTCTTTCATTTCTCTCAGATAAATACCTAAGAATAAAGTAGCTATGAGGGTATACATTGAACTTTCGAAGAAAACAACCAAACTCTTCTGAAGTGGTAGTACCAGTCTACATTTCAGCATACTACTGGCTCTACTGCCTCTCCAACACTTGTTGTGATGACATTCTAGAGGTTCTATTACATTGATAGAAGTTATCTTGTGATGGATTTAATTCGTGATTCCGTATTCATTTTGAGCATCCTTTCGTGTGCTTATTTGGCATCTCTACACCCTTTCACACAATGGTGAAGGAAAGTGGTGAGAGTGCACTTCCTAGTCTTCCGATCTTAGAAGGAAAGTAGTTAGTCTTTTGTCTCTATGTATAAAGTTAGCTGTAGGGATTTTTCTTTTTGTGGCACTGGGGACTGAACCCAGGGCCTTAATATAGGCAAGCTTTCTATCATTGAGCTATCTCCCCAGCTCTTTTCATTCTGAGGCAAGGTCTTCCTAAGTTGCCCAGGCTGGGTTCAAACTTTTCAGTCTTCCTGCCTCAGCCTCCAGAGCAGCTGGGACTTCAGGCATGTGACATCACATCTGGCTAGCTATAGAATTTGGTTGGGTTTTTTTTTTTTTTCATCATATAAGAGAAGTTCCCTTCTACTCCTACTTTGCTGAGATTCTTTTTCTATCAAGCAATTTGGGAGCTCACTTGGGCAGCACACATATTAAAACTGGAGCGACACAGAGATTCACGTGACCCCTCCCCAAGGGTGACACATTCCAAACTCTGTACAGCTCCTAGTTCCTAGAAAGTCTTTCAAAAATTTGCTGGCTAGCTTCAAGGAGATAGAATTAAAGTAGAATGAATAGAATTGATATCGAAAATGTGATTTTTCACTAAGAAGATATGTGTATAAGGCGATCTACGAAAACACCAGTTACAAGTGGAATATTGTATGCAACGTAACAAACTGTCAACATAGTCTTCTCTGTTGAACTTAAAGAATTTTGGATTTTGTCAAATTGTTTTAGTAAATCTACTGAACAAACCCCATGACTTCTTTTTTAATCTGCTGGTGACTACTTACTTTTCTTTTTTGGAATGTTAAACCAACTTTGTATTCTTGAGCTAAACACTATTTGGTTGTGATGCATTATCATTTTTAAGGATTACTGTATTTTTTTCTCTAAAAATTTTGTTAGGAAGCATTGCATTTGTATTCATGGGGAGTATTGATTTGTGGCTTCTCTAAGTATCTTTCTGGTTTTTTAAAATCACATTAATGTTCAGCTCACAGAATGAATTGGAAGTATCCCTTTCTCTTCCACTTTTTGGAAGAGTTTCTATAGAGTAGGCATTATTTATTACATGCTTGGTACAATTCCCTAGTGAACCCATTTTTCGTTTTGCTTGAAGGATCACTTTTTTTTTTTTTTTTTTTTTTTTGTCTTTTTGAGACAGGGTCTCGATATGCAGTTCAGGCTGGCCTTGTGCTCACTCTGTAGCCTAGGCTAGTCTTAAACTTATAAAAATCCTCCTGCCTCAGCCTCCTGAGTGCTGGGATTACAGGCATGCACCACCACCCCATTTGAAGGACTACATTTCATATGAATGAAATGTAGAATCAGTTTATCAGTTTCTACAAAAATGCTTGCTCATATTGTGATCAGGACTATATTGAATCTACAGATCAAATTGGAGAGTGTTTTTGACTAATCCTTTCATTTTTTTCTATATCTGAGAAAGTTTTTATCTTGCTGTTATGGTTGGTGTCTGCATGTCCCCCCAAATCCTCAGGCACTCATGGGGCGGGCTTTTAGAGTTTTGATTCATGGTTGTGGGTGCTACACTGCCCTGGGGCAGATAGTTTGCATGTGTAAGGGAGTATAAGTGGCTGCTTGCTGCCATTCCTCGCTTCTGCTTTTGTTTTTGCTATGTTCCACCGCCATGAACTGTTGCCCTCTGCCATGTGCCACTCTGCCTCGGAGCCGGCCAAGTATGGACTGAAACCTCCACAGACTGGAAGTGAAATAAACCTTTCCTTCCTTCATTTTGGGCATTGGGTATTTTGTCTCAGCAACGAGAGAAAAGTAATCAAGACATTTGCCTTTATTTAAAAAATGTTTAGCTGGGCATGGTGGCACATACCTGTAATCCCAGCTATTCCACTTAGTGAGACTGTCTTAAAATAAACAATGGAAAGGGCTGAGGATGTAGTTCAGTGGTACAGTGTCCTGCATGCACAA